CTTTCTTTCTTTCTTTCTTTCTTTCTTTCTTTCTTTCTTTCTTTCTTTCTTTCTTTCTTTCTTTCTTTCTTTCTTTCTTTCTTTCTTTCTTTCTTATTACTCTGTTTTTACATTTTTTTTTTCATGCCCCTTAAATGCATCCTGTTGCCTATTTCAATGCCTAGTGCATTTATGTACAGGATTGTAAGACTTTGAGCTACTTCTCGAGAAAAATAGAAATTTCAAATTTGTGGAACTTATTTTTACATTAAACTGAATTTATTTAATCACACAAATGTCTTAGAACCTCAGCCTCTGCATGACTGAACCAAAGAGTTACATTTTCRTTTGGAAGCAGGGAATTAAAGAAACAGATCGATACATGCTTGTACACATGAACGTGATTAGTGAGCACAAAATATCTGTGTGCATTAGCATGGGACTGGGCTTGCTGCTAAATATAAAAGCAAAAGCAAATTGCCAGTGGCCTTTCATTTACTTGAAACAACCTCACTGGTAAGTTCTTGTGCACCACAATCTGCTTTGATCTTCCTCCCTGTTGCCTTTTTTTAAAATTTATTTATTTATTTATTTATTTAAGTGCAGGACACCCAGAAAGCTTCCCCCTGTGTTAGTGGCTGCTGGGCCTCCTCCTATACCCTGAAGGTCTCCTGGTGGCAATTTGGCCTGTTCCACTCACAGACCACTTCCATTTGCAGGAAGCTGGGGAGGAGAGYGGCTACTGGACATCACTTTGTCCATCTCCCCCATCCCACTGGGATTATCAACTTTGTTATTGCTGCCAGATCCTTCTTCTCAGGGATCACTGGTAGTGGAACCCTCTGTAGCCTCCCTGGCCTATCTGGCTAAGGGCTCCACTGCCCTRCTTGTTTGCAACTTCATCCCTGGATCAAATCTAAATATTCCTAGCTGAAACATGAGCCTGTTACTTCTAGTCCACGGAAGTCCTACATTATCCCTTCCTGTTGCCCTTTCACAAGTGGATGACTGTTACCATGTTCCTGGGTCATGTTTTCCTTATGCTACAATTCATCTATGTTTCCTGGCATTTTCTAGGACTCCTGTAGCCCTCCATTCTCTGGTTTCCCTTTGGTTGCTGCATACAGTGGCCTTACCAGTGCTGAGCTGTGCCCTGGCTTATGCTTGTGCAGCTGATTAATCCTGCCAGCAGAAACACTTCCTCTTGCACTGCATTTGAGTCAGATTCCATGCTTTTCAAACAGTTTCTTGAGGTTGTTTTGAATTCTTCTTTCATGCTCCAAAGTGCTTGCAGTCGCTCCCAGATTAGTGCCACCTATAAAAGTAATTTCTGAAACTCTCCCAGGAGGGAACCCTCTGAGATCCGTCCATCGTGACCTTCACTAATGCACAGATCTGGGCATTATGGAGCATCTCCTTTGCTCCATAACAAGGTCCCTTCCTCTACCACAAAAGGAAATTTGTCCAGTTTGACCCCAATCTCTGTTGACGAGTCCATGGTAATTGTTCATTATCTCTATCTCCTTCTGAATGTTTATGAGATTTGTCCATTTTTACTGGCTGTTTTCTGGGGTGAAAAGAATGGCTTACTGATCTGTTTTTTTTTTTTTTTAATGGCCTTTTGAAGAAAAGCGCCACTTTTGCCTTTTTTGGTATGTTCCTTGGTTGTCCTCCCTGGACTCTTAAAGATAAACACTCAGTGACTCAAAAGTTGTTTTGGTCTTTTCTCTCAGTRCCTAAATCAGGCCAGTCCATTTATCTGAACATTTCTTATTACATAGATACTCTATATCTCATTCTTTCCTAGATAATGATTGTTTATCAGTCGTGAATATGTACCATGCCAATCACCTGCTCACAAATGACCTCTTTAGTGAAGACCAGTGCAAAAAAAAAAAGGCATTAAATGCTCTGTGCCTTCTCAGCCTCAGTCAAGAGCTTTCTCTTGCTGATGAGTAATCCACTTTCTTTTGACTTCCTCTTACCACTAGTGTACTTACCAAATGTTTTCTTGTTACTCGTGATGCTCTTGCTAGTTAAATTTTATTTGTTGCACTGGCTTTTTTTTGTGTTTGTCCCTACGTGCTCTTGCTACACTGTACTTCTGCACAAACCTCACATAATTTGTGCTTCCTTTCTGTGTTGTGAGCTCAGGATTTAGCCAAAGCTGTTGCTTACTACCTTTCCTAGATTTCTTCTGCCATGGAAGAGTTTGAGATAGATGTTCTCATGACTCTCAGATGCCACTAACTCTCTCTTCCCAAAGGGCAAGAGGCCTTAGCAAGGCCTGGTGTTAGTAGCAAAAAAAATGGAGGAAAAAAAAAGGTGATTTGGGGAGCAGAGATGAAAATAAAATTTTGAGAAAAGAGAACTATGATTAAATAAATTAAAGAGTAGGAGAAAAAAGAAGAGGGAGAAGAACTTGGAGAAATATGTAGAAGAAGAGAAATAGGTACCTAGAGAAATAGGTAGAGACAGTGGGAATGAATAGAGCCGAAGATACAGAGTAAATCAGTATAGTACAATGAAAACCACACAAAAAGAGGGAAACAACCATTACCCAAGCTGACCAAATATTATTATCCTGAATACCTGCTTTAGATTTCTCTTACATCCTGAGATTTTCATTTGAACTAAGAATCTTCAGATGATATATTCTRCAAGTTATGTATTTTTATAGTAATTTTCTCACATCTGAAAGAGTAAATCTCAAGATACACTTTCTGAGCACAAGAAGGCTGAAGACACAAAAGGAAAGAAAACACATTTCTAATAGTAAAATACATGTTAGATATATGTTAGATTAAATAGTACTGAAGTGAAATTTCAGTGAAAACATACTTTTCAGTTGATAGCAATATCTTTGTGCATCCTGATTAAAATTGATTTTGATTTGAATGAAGGAGTGAAAACAATTTTAAAAAGAATATTCCAGCTTCATGGCAGAGTAAATGCTGAAGTGAAGATTACACTGGCAAGTGTGTTTGTTTTGTGCAAAGCTTCATGAGACACTATTTTGCAGTTATGTGGTGAAGCATGGCTTCATAAACGGTGCATCTTTGGCCACAAATAGGGGACATAGAGTCTCTGAGGGTGCTTGTTTGTTCGCTRGAAGAGAAAGGGATAACATTTATGGACCCAGTTGTGTTCAAAAGGGGAGAATGAATCACTATCTTCCAGCTTATTTTTTTTCCACATTCAGAGAATCATAGAATCATTATGGTTGGAAAAAACCTTTAAGATCA